CCAAGAAGGGGCTGGTGGGTTTGAACCACCAACCTTTCAGTTAGCAGTCACATGCCTTAGGCACTGTGCCACCAGAGCTCCATGAGATATATTTTGACAGTATAGGGCAAGTGGGACATGCTTTAACATAATACAGGGAGAAAACAAAAACTGGACAATAAAAGAAACAAGGATAGCAAAATGTTTATAAAATAGTACAGTGAGCCCTCACATACCTATCTTCAAACTTCAACAACCTTGAAGATAGGTATGTGGGGGCTCACTGTACTATTTTTGCATGTGTGTTTGAATATTTCCATAATAAAAAGCTTTGTTTTTTGTTTTTTTAAGTCTATTGTGGTAATCATGGACTAAGATCATGCAAACATAAATGACAGGGAACATAAAGAAAAAAAGATTAATTCAACAGCCATTTTGACCTTGACAACATATCTGATGAAATGACATGAGACTGTGGCGCTGGAGGACCAAAAACACAGATAAGAGTCACAAGGGCGAGGAGAGAAAGGAGTGTTCATCCATTGTTGGTGGGAATGTACAGCCACTGTGGAGAACAGTCTAACAGTTTCTCAAAAAGTTAAACACAGAATTGCCATACGATCCAACAATTTCACTTCTGTTATGTGCTGCCGAGTCGGACCCGACTCACAGTGACCCCTCCTTGGGTTGCCGAGGCAGTATCACTACAGAAGTAGATTGCCCAACCTTCCTTCCAAGGAGTAGCTGGTGGGTTTGAACCACCAGCCTTCTGGTTAGCAGTCAAGTGCCTTAAGCACTACGCTACCAGAGCTCCTATTTCACTTCTAGATATATACCTAAAAGATCTGAGAGCAGAAACACAAATAGAAACCTGTACACAAATGCTCGTTGCAGCACTATTCACAATTGTGAAAAGATGAAAACCATCTAAATGTCTATCAACAGATGAACGGATAAACAAAATGTGATATCTGCATACAATGGAACACTACTCAGCCATTGAGAAATGAAGTCCTGGTATATGCTACAACATTGGTGAACCTTTTAAACATCATGTTGAGTGAAAGAAGTCAGTTGCAAAAAGGAAAAATATTGTATGAGTCCATGTATATGAAATATCTAGCATAGGAGAGTATATAGACCTAAAGTTATCAGGGGCTACCAGGGGCAGGTGGGAGGGGATGGGGAAAGGGAAACTCATTGCTTAGGAGACACGGAAAATTTGGAAAACAGATAATGGTGATAATTGTATATTATGAACACAATGTTACTACATTGTACATGCGAACAATGTTAAAATGGCAAATGTTTTGTGACATAAACATTTACCACAGTAACAATTTTTTAAAAAGTTTATTTGAAAAGTCAAGACACATCTTGAGAGGAATCTACAATCTTATTTATGGAAATGTACCATCCATGAACTTTTTTGGGGGTTTGTGCAGACTCCAGAGGTAGAATGAAGGAACTGGGAAAGCAAAATGAAAAACCAGACTTGGTGTATACTTGAAGCATAAAGGCATTTCTGGATTAAATCATAAACTCCATGTGAATGCTAAAATGTTTATACGTTGAAGTATAAAATAACTGGGGAGAAAAAAAAAAACAAATTTAAAAGAGAGCCATAAAATTAAATCCAGTTTAAGAAGTATTATTGTTTGCTTGCTACACGTCAGGTACTATACTAGGTCCCTGCCCTCCTCTTAACAACTAACCCTGGGCACTAGTAGGAAAAAGAAAACCAATAGCCTGGTTACATAAAACTAACTTAAAACCTTGCACTCAAACCTAATCTCAGAGGAAGCATCAAAGAACTCAGCCAGCAGCTGATGGTGATTGCTCCCTGTGGTCACATTCAATACAAAACCACCGAAGTTTTCAGAAAATAGAAGTCAGTGGCATTGTGTTTAAGACATTGAATTTATTAAAGGTTAAAGGAGTTTGAGGAAATTTTTATCCCCAGATTAAGAATATAGAAAGGATATTAAATGTTACTAATTTGATTAACAAATATAACTGAAAGGTTTTGTTCACAACACTTGTCAGGATTCCTTAATGAAATATCAAACTACAGTAGTACAGTTAGCACTCTGCAGAGAGACTACCTGATGCGCAGAGAAAAAAAACAATGGGTTCAACTAAGCCCATTTTCATTAACATTATTATTGATGTCACTATTGAATTATCTGAGCCAAATTCAGAACTATGAATCATTATTATTAGTTAATAGTATATTGCTACCTCAAATCACCAATGTCCTCAAAAAGTGAAAAATAGTGATCCTGACCAGGACTGGCACACATTTATTTAACCATTATTTTATAAGCTCCTACTCTATGTCAAGGAGCTCTTATAGCATGGTGCGTAAGGCACTTACTTGACTGCTAACCAGAAGGCTGGCGGTCCAAACCCACCAGCCACTCCTCAGAAGGAAGGTTGGACATTAATCTACTTCTGTAGTGATACCGCCTCAGAAACCCAAGGAGGGGTCACTGAATCGTATCCAACTCAACAGCAGTGAGTTGGTTGGTGTTGATTAACATCTACTTAATAAGGTACATGCCTTATCTCTCACACAAACATCTTAAGGGTAAGAAATGTTCCTTTTATGTCTTTGAACATAAGGATTCATATTCTCTAATACACAGCTTTGCACACGCACACACCAAAAAAAAAAAAAAAAAAACACAAATCTAGTTCAACTGAATAATTATGAGAGAACTTGGAGAAAGCAACTGTGCCTGTGTTCAATGGGAGCATATCATTTCACCTTTTCACCAGGTTGTATTTGTAAAGCAAATTACTCTTCTGATTTCAATTATATGAAAGAATCGATTCTTCAAAAATAACTTCATGAACAGAAATGGAACTAAAGCAGATCCTTAACCTGTGTTCCATGGACTCCTGCCATGAAGCTCTTGATATTACCATTTATGTATACATGCATTTTTTTTCCCAGGGAAATAATTCATAGCTTTCATCAAAGTCTAAAAAAGGGCTGTAAGTTAAGAACTAGTAATGCATGTGAAGCAATTGTTGTAATGACTGATGTCAACAGAGGTGCTGAAATGTTTGTTCACACTCAAAATGCCATGCTGAAACGGAAGGATCCCCTCTAGTGCTTTCCTAGGTACACATCCTTCTCAGGATAATTCACGAATCTCCTAATTGTTTTCCTATGTTCACTGCTCCCACAAAATAAATCATGAAAACCATAAAAATTAGTATCCTGTGGATCTCAGTTTTTTTTTACCATATAAACTTCTGAATAATTATCAGTACCAGTGTTTAAAGGTAGGCTAGTAACCAGAGAGCCCATGGTTTGAACCCACCAGCCACTTCATAAGAGAAAGATGAAGCAGACTGTCTGCATCTGTAAAATTTACAGTCTTAGAAACCCTACAGGGCAGTTCTACTCTGTCCTATAGGGTTGCTATTGTTGTTGTTGTTATGTGCCGTTGAGTCGGACCCGACTCATAGTGACCCCTCCTTGGGTTTCCGAGGCAGTATCACTACGGAAGTAGATTGCC